GATGGAGTTTACAGATTCCTGTTTTCCTTCGCTCTTCTTCTTTGGTGCTCGACACTCAAACCTTAAATGCCTCTTCTTTCCACAGTTCCAGCAGGTTCTAATTTTCGACTTGCTTCTGTGTTTGGATTTGGATTTACTACGATCCGAGTCTGATCTTTCATAAGTTCTTCCTCTGCCCTCGGTATTCAAAATAGATCCAAATGATTCCCATATTTCCCTTCTGCGAATATCTTCGCTGAGGATCAAGTCCGAACATCATCAAACTTCAATTTTCTTTTTCCTGAAGAACTACTCACTGCTGTAACAATACCGTTCCAGCTTTCTGGTAAAGAGGATAAGAAAAGCAGTGCCTTAATCTCATCATCAAACTCAATCTTTACAGAGCTTAACTAAGTCGTAACAATGTTAAACTCATTCAGTTTGTCAGTCATTGAAGCGCTTTCTGATATTCTTAGGTTGAATAATCGCCGTATCAAATATACTTTGTTAGACTCAGTGGGTTTCTCATACATATTTGATAGGGCGGTCATTAAACCTGTTGTTGTCATCTCCTTTGCTACGTTGAAGGCAACGTTGCGCGACAGTGTCAATCAAATGACCCCTAGTGCCTGTCGATCAAGAAGAGCCCAATCATCATCCTTCATCTCTTCTGGTTTCTCTTCAGAAAGAGGCTGATACTGATACAGATAATCCTTAATCTGCATCTTCTAGAACCCAAAATCTGCACCATTGAACTTGTTAATCTTGATCTTTCCTTATTCTGTACCTATCGCTCCCACTTGAACCTAATGGCTCTGATACCAGTTATTGCGAAATTAAACAGAAAAATACAAGAAATAGATCAAACACACACACAACAAGAACACACACAGATTTTACTTGGTTCACCCAAAATTCAGGGCTACGTCCAAGGATTTCAGGGATTTCACTGTGATGATAAAAACGGCTACAGATACAGAGAGTTTAGAATGAATAAATACCCTTGCACTAGGATAACATAACAAGTGCGAAAATAACCAAAATACCCTCCAAATAAGTTGGGTCTTGGTGTACAGTATCTATCAGTCTCTACACTACCCATCAAATACATGGGTTTCATCTGCACTATCACGTAATCCCCGTGAACTTCATCTTTCACATATTGTGAATCTGCCTCGTGAGCTTTTTACTTGTAAAACTTTGGTGGTACTTAAACTCGAGGGTAGATTTGTTCTCCATGTTCCTACTTCGGTTTGTCTACAGAGTCTTAAAGTCCCTGTCGTTGATTTACTCAATTTTTTTGATAATGACTCATTTTATAGGCTCTTTTCAAGCTGCACTGTGCTTGAAAAATTGTCCATAAATTTATGTAATTTGGGAAATATTAGTATTTTTAACATTTTTGCTCCCAATCTCAAGAGTTTACCTATAAATTGTGATCATATCGGGATACACCAAATCTTCAGGATCTAAAATGCAAAGGGTGTGTAGGAGAAGGCTATTCACTGAATCAATTAAATGCTCTTGTCAAAGCTGACATTAGATTCTTAGGAGGATACTTTTAAGAAAAACCTCCTGATATAGCAGAGTTCGTTGAAAGAATGTCTAAAGTTCAGTGGCTTCGTTTGTCTAATGATTTGATGGAGGTTAGTTTGCTACACTCTGGGCGCTTATTTTTTTGGATTATTACTTATAAATGTTACTAATAATTCATATTTATTATTTAATAAAATTAAAGTCTCATAATTTTAAAAAAATAAAATTGACCAAAATATTGATTTGGATATGAAAAAATACGGTTTACTATCACTGAGGTAACACATTAGTGCATATATGTACCACTTTTTTTACATAGAGGTACTACTTTTTGTACATTAGATATCACTTTTATTTTAGACAGGTACCACTGTTTATGCATATAGTGTTTTTTCATATCTTCATATTTTTTAAAATTATGAAACTTTAACTCCGTCAAATGATAATTACAAGTCATTAGCATCATTTATATGTAATATTCCCATCTTCCTTTTTTCTTTTTTCTTTTTTTGTTTTTAACAAATATTAATCGACTTATATTTGTTTTCTTTTTGCGTGAAGACCTTTCAGATGTGCAGGTTCTGTTGCTAAAGTTTGAACGTTTGAATTATTTGGAGCTGGGTGATGATCGCCAATATGTTGAATGGAAATTGCTACTGAATTTTGTTAAAAGCTCGCCACCGCTTGAAACTCTCATCTTTGAGGTAAAACGCTAAACTGTGTTGATTAAATCACTTATAGTTGAGGTAAAACGCCAACTGTGTTATCACTTTGTTTAAGTAGAGAAAAATTTACGCTTAGACCAATTAAATTGGAGGTGTTACTATTTATATATCTTGTTTGATCAGGCGCTTCCAAAAAATGATCGTGAGGAAAACCCGACTTATCAACCTTGGAACGCGCCTTCTTCTTTATTGTTTCAGTTCAAGAAAATTGAAATTAAAGCGTTCCATGGGACGAGTACTGAGCTGAAAATGGTAGAATATTTCATAATGAATTCAAGATTTTTGGAGAAATTGATGATTCATCCTTTTTGGGGTGAGCTGGATATTTTCGAAAAACTATTGATGTTACCAAGGAGCTGGCAAGTTAAGATTCTTTGATATTTTCTTGCGTCATCTTGTTTTTTTTTTTTAGAAAATTTATTTTGCAAGCAATTTTGTGCTATATTTGAAGGGAGTGGGTGTGGTTAAGATATTTGAAAAAGGGAGTGGGTGTGGTTAAACCGAGCTGAAAGCTTACATCTTATTATGAGATGCATTTGAAGCATGATTTCACTCATTGAGGTGAAATCATACTTTATTTTGAAAAAGTCACATTTTCTTTTTTGTCCTTTTAATTTTAATTTTCCACACCAAGTCACATTTTCTTTTTTATCCTTTCACTAATAATTTTCCACACCAATTTCAGTAATAATTTTCTTTTTTATCCCTTCATTAATGTTACCATGAGTAATGCTTTTAAGAGAACTCTCTCGTGATAAGTCATGAACTTTTCGTGTTTAATTAATGAATTGAAATATATATTAAATGATTAATTCATTTATTTTACAAATCTCAAAAAAAAAAAAAGTTGTCTCGATCCAATGTAGAGAACTAATTGTTGAAGATTTTCCTCTATTTTTCCCTCATTAATTCTTTCAATAAATCTTCAACACTAATGTCTCTTGTTTGAAAGAACTCTGTTAAGAGCATTAGTCTTTCATATGAATCATATCACTGATTCTATATATACAAAACTCTGACAGATAGCCATGACATTGCTTGAAGAATGAACAATAATAATTATAGGTCTGATTTTCATAATTTTGTAGTTTGAACTATAAAAGATAATAAAATATAATGAAAATGAGGAAATCTAAATCTACTCATTTTTATATTAGAAGTACAAAGAGTTTTAGAATTTTAGTACATTGATTTATTTAATAATATAGTAGTAAGAAATAATAATAATAATAATAATAATAATATAGTAATTGGAAACACTTGAAGAAAATGAAATCTAATCAAAGAAGGAAAATATAAAATATTAACTATTGAAATTCAATAAAAGAAAATCTAATTAGAGAAGAAAATATACTACTGATAATTGATAAATCTAATATTATAATTTTTGTAATATTATTTATATATTAAAAAATTAAACTACTAAAATTCAATAAAAACTAATTAGAGATGGAAAGATAATACTGAAATTCAATAAAAACTAATTAGAGATGGAAATATAATACTAAAATTCAATAAAAGGAAATCTAATTAGTGAAGAAAATATAATATTAAAATTCAATAAAAGGAAATCTAATATTATAATTTCTATAATATTATTTCTATATAATAAATAATAACGCAAAATTATTTTTATATATAAAAAATTAAAGAGAAGAAAATATAGTACTGAAATTCCATAAAAAGAAATCTAATTAAGGAAGAAAATATAATACTGAAATTGAATAAAATGGAAATTTATTATTATAATTTTTATAACACTATTTTTAAAAGGGGCTTAATGTCAAGAAGTGATTCCTAAGACGCTTGGAGGATAGAAGACACGCATGCTGGTTGGCAAAGAGCAGAGTTTGACTAGGAATGGTTCCAGGGAAGGAGCCTGCAGGAGCACAGGATGGAACCTCTTCAAAGTTCAGGCAGGTCGACTCAGTTGAGTGCGAGGAGCTTGTCGCTGGTCGTGGACTTGACTATGAAAAAGGGAGTTGGCCATCCTTGCACAAACTGGTCGGGAGCTGGAGCCGTTCCCCTGATGAGACCAAGGCAGGTCAAAACCAGTCAGCATGTATCCTTGGGAGGGCAGGTCGTGGTGGTTGACCAGGGCGTTTGCGCTAGTTGAAGCAACGCCTTGGTGCCGCACGGGCCGTGCCGCTGCGCCAAATCTCTAGGCCCGTGACAAATGGTATCAGAGTAGGACTTGGGGTAAAGCACGGTGGGGTGCCCCCTTGTCGGTCCGAGAGGGGTCAGAGAATGAAGACGAATCACTGAAGTTGCGTCGATGAGGAGGAATCAATGCAGTTGGGGGGAGAGCCTCCATCTCCCTAGGAAGAGGCGTCCGTTGAAGTTGCGCACTAGAGGGCCGGAGGGCTGCGCGCACCAAAGTTCGTGCTTAGTCCTTGGTTGATGCAAACCATCGTGAAGGGCGAGCATCAAGTCGGCAGGAGGCCCTTGCTTGCTCGGGATGTCGCGGAGGCTGCATGATGGAGAAGAGTCACGTCCTTGAAGAGTGGACGTCCCCTTGGTCTGAGGCCTATCATTGGGCGAGTGCAGTGCAGGGAGCTGCACAAGGAAGCGATGGTGGGAAGACAAGCATACCGCATGGAGGCAGACTTTGGAAGGGAGTGGACGCAATAGTGAAGCACCGCACTGCGATGAGGGCATCGCAGGATTTGGGTGGGGGAGAGTGTCACGAAGTGATTCCTAAGACGCTTGGAGGATGGAAGACACGCATGCTAGTTGGCAAAAAGCATAGTTTGACTAGGAATGGTTCCAGGGGAGGGGCATGCAGGAGCACAGGATGAAACCTCTTCAGAGTTCAGGCAGGTCAACTCAGTTGAGTGTGAGGAGCTTGTCGCTAGTCGAGGACTTGACTATGAAGAAGGGAGTTGGCCATCTCTGCACAAACTAGTCGGGAGCTGGAGCCGTTCCCCTGATGAGACCAAGGTAGGTCAAAACCAGTCAGCATGTATTCTTGAGAGGGCAGGTCGTGGTGGCTAATCAGGGCGTTTGCGCGAGTTGAAGTAACACCTTGGTGCCGCACGGGCCGTCCCGCTGCACCAAATCTCTAGGCCCGTGACATTAAGGACACTTTGGATCAAAATAGTAAATTTACAGTATTGATACTTATCAATTTTTTTTTTTTTTTTTGTAATATAACCTTATAAAGTAGTCAAAAATTAAATTCCCAGCCCATATTAATTCCCAAACCCATCATCCCTCGAATTCCTCTCTCTCAGAGTCACACGACCTAATCTGGACGAATTTCCAAGCAAACACCTACTATTAACCACCGATCGGCGATCAAAACGCCGACAAACGCACCTTCACAATTGCTAGTGGATTTCTAAGCAGTTTAGTGTATGTATATCTCTCTTCATCTTTCTCTTTGTGTTTGCTTAAATTTCTCTCTAATATTTGTGTCATGATATTCTAGTTGAGATGAGTACCTAGATGGGTATATTATTTGATACCACCTATGTCTTTTCAATATTTTTCAATGATATACATGCACTGTGAACCATGTTCACAAATTCAATCCTAAATTTATTTCTTAATTAAAGCCAAGCTTGAATCCTAAAGTTAATATCACTTGATTTCATTCAAGCACTGTCAAGCCAAGCTTGATCATAGCTAGGGAAAAGCTCGTTTCAACATGAATCGAGCTCAGACACTGTCCCTTGGGTTTGACTAGCCGAGCGACTTATAAGTTGTTTACATTGTTTCAGTGGCATTATTTTAGCAATTATATACATATATTATTTTTATGTTTCAGCAGATGGGTTCAATTTTGGAAAGCGGGTGGGTGCATTCTGAGGAAGTGAATGTGGGAGGTTATAAAGACATGATTAGTAACTTACCAACATGTCTTATTGGCCATATCCTATCTTTTCTTCCAACAAAGAATGCAGTGGCAACTAGTGTCTTGTCAACCAAATGGAAGTACCTCTGGACCTCAATCACTAATCTAGACTTTGATGATGGATTGCTATATGCATCGGCAACTCCTTGGAAGGGTAACGAACAAAGACAAAGTTTAGTGGAAAAGAGCTTCGTAAATTTTGTCTACCATGTACGTTCACGTAACGTATCAAATTTGCATAAATTCCGTCTGAGATGTACTCGGAGTTATGATGTTTCACATGTTAATGCATGGGTTTCAACGGCACTATCACGTAATCCTCGTGAACTTCATCTTTCAAAAACAGGGAGTCTGCCTCATGAGCTTTTTACTTTGGTTTGTCTACAGAGTCTTAAAATCCTTGTCATTGATTCACTTAAATTTTCGGATGATGACTCATTCTATAGGCTCTTTTCTAGCTGCCCTGTACTCGAAGATTTGTCCATAGAAAATTGTGATTTGGGAAATATCAGTGTTTTTAACATTTCTGCCCCCAATCTCAAGAGTTTAACCATGAATTGCGGGACTTGGTTGAATGAAACTTGTTCCCATACTTCGAAGTACAAGATTGTGCTTAATACACCAAATCTTCAAGACCCCAAATACAAAGACGCTATAGCATAAGGCTATTCACTGAATGAACTAAATGCTCTTGTCAAAGCTAACGTTAGTTTCGTACGACATCGCCTTTTTGGTCGGGATAGATCTATTGAACTAGCTATAGCAGAGTTTGTTGAAAGAATGTCTAAAGTTCAGTGGCTTCATTTATCGTTTTATATGATGGAGGTTAGTTTGCTACACTCTGTGCGTCTATTTTTTAATGGTGGTTTTAATGCCCAGTTGTACTTTTGAGACTACAACTGCCTGTTACTTCAAATGTTAATGGACTTGAATTCATTTTCTTTTTGCATGAAGAGATTTGAGTGGTGCAGATCTCCGTCGCTAAAGTTTGAACGGTTGACATATTTGGAGCTTGGTGGTGATGTCCAATATGTTCCATGGAAATTGCTACTGGATTTTGTCGAAAGCTCGCCACGGTTGGAAACTCTAATTTTTCAGGTAAAACACCAACTGCTTTGATCAAATTAAATTATTTAAGTGGAGAAAAATTACCTTAGTAATTAAAATAGTGTTGTTACTATTTATATTTCGTATTTGATTAGGGACTTTCACGGGATGAACTAAAGGAAAAGCGGACAACATCAGGTTGGTATCAACCTCAGTATGTGCCTTCTTGTTTGTTATTTCACCTAAAGAAAATCGAAATTAAGGAGTTTGATGGGAAGAGTGCTGAGCTGAAAATGGTGGAGTATTTCTTGATGAATTCAAGATTTTTGGAGAAATTGATAATTGGTTGTTATTATCCGGGTGAAGAGTTGGAGTTGGAGATTTGCAAAAAAACTTTTGATGTTACCAAGGGGTTGCCAAGTTGAGGTTCGTTCAATGCTTGAGCGCTATTTTTGAAGGGAGTTGGTGTGATTAAGATATGAACTTGCTTTATGCTTCCTTTTGCTTCTACTTAGTTGCTTCTTATTAATAGTTAGTGTTTGGTAACTATGTATTATTACTAACGCGCTAGTAGCCTAGCAGTATCAATCTCTTACTTCCCAAAGGGAGGTCAGGGTTCAAGTTTCATAAGAGACAAGTGTGTGTAAATACCAACTAAAAAAAAAAAAAAAGCTGTTTGGGAGGTGATTTTTCAAAAGTCATCCCAAACAGGGCCTTAAATGATGTCATAAAGAACTTTTCATTTGTCAGATTATTTTTGTGATATTTATGTTACATTATCGACTAGTAAAAAGAAGATCTTGAAAGGTTCATTTGATGATGAGTTTGTTCTACTCTGCTGTTAACTCATCTCTTAAACAGGGACTTGCAACCAAATTACAGTCCTAGATTTGAAGCATGACATGCACTAATTAAGGTGAAATCATTCTTTATGTTGCCCAAGAATGGACTCTTGGGATAGAGTTCTTGTCTAATAATGGCAGATTAAAAAACTAAGTGGATAGTATGCAATTTCAGTTTTAACAAATATGAGCTAAACAATATCAACAAATATATGTAGTAGCATGCAATGGCTGATTTTCAATTTATAAAACTTCAATTTCTAGCAAGTAACTTATAGCAATTGTGCAATAATAGAGATATGAATTCAGCAAATTAATGGCACAATTATAAGAGAGATAAGGGAAGAGAAATTGCAAACACAGACACGGCAATTTTAGCGAGGTTTGGAAACTCCTACTATTCGGCTCAAAACCCCTCTTGAGACTTTCTAATCCACTATGGCTCCTTCTTACGGGTGGAGAGCAAACTTTGATTAGAAGCAACTCTTTGTTTCTCCTTGTTAAGAGACAACCTCTCTTAGTCTTCCTTTGGGCCAAACTAGTCCTTATAATATCCTTGTTAAGAGACCACCTCTCTTAGTCTTACATAGATCACACCAACCCTTACAATTTCTTTGCTAAGAGAAACTCTTCCTCTTAGGCTTACAGTATATTTGTAGTACAAGAAATCCTCTCAAGAATTGATAAAAATTAAACCTCACAATAGAGAATATATGAAATCAAGTGAAGCTCAAACTGTATGTATGATATGAATGAGAAAAGATGATATAAGTGAAGAACAAAAGCTCTTATGAACTTAATAGAATCTCTCAAGTGTAGAATAGAGCAAAAGCTCTTTGAAGATTCGACTTTAAATCTTTAATTGACTTTCTTAAGTTTTATATATGAATGATATGAATGAAAGATGAAGAGAAGATGAAGAACAAAAACTCTTTAATGCCTCATAAGGTCTCTCAAGTGTTGGCTCTTTAATGCTCTATGATTTCTCTTGAATGCACTGTCTCTTACTTTCCCACAATGTCCATACATTGTGTATTTATATGCCCTTGGAAGAATATAGCCGTTTGGGGGCATTATGGTAAGTTCCCATGAGGTTAAATGGTCAAAATTGCCGTTGGGAAGCTTCTGCCCATACATCTAACCGATTACAAGGCTTAAACTACTCGAGTAGATAAGATCTAAATCTCATCTAACCGGTTACAAGGTGTTGTCTAACCAGTTGCTTGAATGCAAATGATTGAGGTTATTCTTCTGGCTTAGTTCAACTAATCGGTTACTTGGTGTGAACTACCCGGTTACTTCAAGCTAAGTACTCGGTTACAAGCTTCTTCCTAACCGATTATATCAATTATTGTTGGAAAGAGTCCGTTTCTACCTTAATGCATTTACTCGATTAGAAGTTTCTTCCTAATCGGTTACATGGTCATCAGATTTTGGTAACAGTGTTTCAGACAGTTCAACTGGACAGTTTTTTTGCAGGACTTCTGCATATACCTTCTTTCCATTGAAAATATTTAATATGTTCATTTTCTTTAAGTTTAAATTGTAAATAAGGAAGTACCCTCCATTTGGATTCAATAAAAAATATAAAATCGTACTAAATCAAAATGTAGAAATTCAATTTTAGTACAAATTTGGATTTCCGACAATTTTGGTAAAAATGAATCCTTATGTAGATCAATATAAAATTGATGAAAAAATCTCATAAAATCCTATTTGGCTATTTGAAGTATAAGGAGTAATTACCGGAAAAAATTATTTTGAAATAATCATTATTTCAAAAATTAATTTTTCACACTTAGCCATTTTTCATACTTAGCTTAAAGGACAGTTTTTCATCGGGTGCATACTAGGGTCATAATGTCCTTTACCAAGGCATGGTAATAAAGGATTTATAGATGAATAAATAAGTTCCAAGCTTTAACCTTTACTTTCTAGAGACCAATATGAATCATTTGATTAATGTGCATGATTTTAGCATTTTAGCTCAAGTGTTTGAGTTATTTCAAAACTTATACAAGCTTGAACTAACTCATTCTTTAGCAAAGACTCCATACGTCAATTATATATGTGAATGAAGTGTATAATCTATTACTAATAGATATAGGAACTCATGAATGATAATGATGATATGCATGATCATATAGAGATGAGTTTCAAATGGATTCATAAATACTTTGACATTGAATCCTAAACACTCACCATTCTATCTACTCCTTTCTTCATGCTTTATCCATGGTCGTATATGATTTGAGGTATTCTTGCTTCATTGCTTTCTTTCTGTCTTTGAGTTCTTTCTTGATCATTGATGTCTTAGCTATCTTTGGATGGACTTTGCATTTTGTTCCTTGCAACTTTAAGTCTTCTTTGTATCCATTGTTTTCCTTGATGTGATCTTGAATAATGGAATACTTGGAATGATTTTTAGTGCTTCATTGAGGTCATTCTTTGAATGTGAATAATTTATATAACACTCAATATAAATATTAGTCCTTAAACACCATTAATGATTTGTTATCATCAAAACCTCTAGATTTTCCTTGGATGGAATCTTTAAGGTCAACAATCTCCTTCTTTTTGATGATGACAAAACCTTGATGTATTCATAAGCAAGTGGAGTAGCATTTGAAAAACAATCTCTCACCGCATATCTCAAAGAAGATATGTTTTTGCATAATCAAGAGTTCATATGACTATGAGTAGTGCCACTACTTACATATGATATATGTTTTTCATGTCATATATGTTTTTCAAAGCATTTTGAACACTCAAGTCATATACAAATCTGTATATTTTTATAAAAGGAAGATCTTTGGCATGAAGGCCATTATTTTAAATTATCTTGACCACACTTGCTCTTACGTGTTATAATTTCATCTCACTCTCTTTAATTTCTCATGGTCCAATCGTTATTTAATCATCTCTAAACTTAAATAGTATATAATTTAAGATGATTACACCTTGAGCGTATTAAATTTTTTATTAAAAAAATAAGATGTGTTAGTATCATGAGATATATTATACACATACTTGTATTTGCAAATCTTGGTTGTAACATCTCACATTTATTTTCATGAATTGTTACATCTTGTTATTTGCTTATATACCTTTGGGAAACCCATAAACTTCAAGCATAACTTACTTTATGATATATCTTAAGCATACTTTACCTATTATTGCTTCATTGTTCCATTAGTTGCATAATCATTGAATGATATATGATGTAAATGGAAACATGTTGATAGGGGGAGATTATTGGTAATCTCTTCTGAAGGAATATTGTATGTTTTGCTAAGCTTCATTAACTTATCTTGAAATTGACAAGCATGTTGCAAAATGACTTGTTAGTCATTTTATTCATACTCATGAGTTTTCATGACTTTGATGATTTTTTCCTCCTCCTTAAAAATATCAAATGACAAAATTTATATTTGGATTGAAGCACACTTAAGTTCCTAGATTTGTCTCTACAAATGTTGTTTGCCTTTTGGCTTATTCTAGTCATAACTTCATTTGTTTTATTATGTATACTTTTGTATACGTTTTGCTTATTTGAGTTTATATTTCATCTTTGGTTATGTCTTATGTATACTTTTGTACATGCCATGAACCTTAATGATCTATTGAATTCATGCTATCAATGAAATTGGCTTCTTATGATATAATTGCTTACATGTCTCATTCCAAAGCATATTATAGTCATTAATAATACTATTGCCATTTCATGATAATCATTGCTTCACTGTGCTAAATGATAAATGCTCAATGAAGTTG